AAAAAAACCTCCCCAAAATCCCAACTCCCGCAGAGCCAACCCAGGGGGCATCAAAGAGCAGAATATCATAAGCTACACACCCAAATTACATGGAAGGATAATGGAGGGGTCAGAAACAGATCACAGAGGTACTCAACAGCATCACAGAAGATATAACTAACAGATAATGGAAGTAAGAATCAAAGTGATCAGGAGCTTTCAGAAGACATTACTAAAAAGCTAGATAAACTGAACAAAACAATACAGTACATGAATGACTAGTATCACTGGAGGAAAGATAGTGTCTTTTTAAAAAATTATATATATATTGTTGAGACAGGGTCTTGCTGTGTAGTTCAGGCTGGCTTTGAATTCACTATGTAACTCAAAATGGCCTTGAAATCGAAGCGATCCTCCTGCCTCAGCCTCCTCAAGCCTGGGATTACAGGTGTGTACACTATGCCTGACCTGGATAGCTTCTTTAAGAAATGGTGCTAGGTGAGTGTCCCTGGCATGGGCCAGGAGGAGAACCAGTGGTTCCCGAGATCAGGCCGCAGTGGAACTTGGGCGGATGCACAAGCAAGCAATTTGCCGGCCCTCTTGGTAAGCACCCCTGGCGCAAGTCAGGAGGAAAACCAGTCAGCATTCCGTGAGCCCAAGGCGAGCGGGCTATGAGTCAAACACACACACACATACACACACACACACACACACACACACACACACACACATACCCGTTAGCGGACAAAGGTCTGAGCATCTCTTGGGAGGATGACCATATGAATATAGCAAATATGGGGGATTTCCTTGTATCTTCTGTTTGAAGGCAAAGGCTGTTTTCACTGTTATGTTTTGTAATGATTGTTTTGCTCTATTCAATATTCTCTTTCAATTGATTTTATTATGTTTTGTTTTTGGTTTGATTTCGCTATACCTAATTGACTGGACAACTATTGTGAAGATAACAAGATATACTATAGTACCTATTACTACCATCCCAGTATCCTGCTCTAAAGTTTTGTACCAATTTCACTGCATTGTCTGATTGGTTTTGTTCTATCTTGTTCTGTTATATTTTTATTGCCTTCAAAATAAAAAAAAAAATGGTGCTAGAAAAACTGGCTGTACACCTGCCGAAGCCTGAACCAAGACCCATATCTCTTACCATGCACAAACTAAAATCAAAGTGGGTCAAAGACAACATTAAAACACAAACACTCTTTTTTTTTTTTTTTTTGTGATCGAAGTCATGACCTCACGCTTTTCAGGCAAGCACTTATGCCACTGAGCTAAATCCCCAGACTTAAAACACAAACACTTCAACTGCTGGAAGATACAATTGTGTAACTACTTTCTGAATACAACCCTGGTTGTACAAGAAATAAGAACAAAATCAACAAAAGAAATCACATCAAATTAAAAAACTTCTGCACAGCAGAGGAAATCACCAATAGAATGAAGAGACAACCTACAGAGTAAGGAAAACTTTTTCTTAGCTACACCTCGAAGGACTAATATCAAGTATATATTAAAGCTCAAAAAAATCAGACCCTGCAAATTTAAAGACCAAATCAAAAATGGGCATCTTAAATGAATAGACAATTCTTGGACAAAGAGGTACAAACTACCAACGAATACAGGAAAATTTTCAAACATCACTGGCCATTTGAAAATGCAAACTTAAGTAACACTGAGACCCCATCTCATCCAGAAAGAAAGGCCATCATCAAGAAATCAATCAATAACAAATGCTGATGAGGCTTAGGGAAAAAGAACTCTTCTCCATTGTTGGTGGGAGTGCAGCCACTGTGGAAATCCTCATAAAAGTATGGAGATTCCTCAGAAAACTGAAACTAGAGGTTCCATTTAACCCAAATATTCCCTTTCTGGGTATCTTCCCCGAACAGTTAAGGACATCATATCACAGTGATGTTTGCATACTCATGTTTATAGCAGCACAATTCATTTAGCTAAATATTAGAAGATCAATATTTGATCAATAAGTGAATGGACAAAGAAAACAGTATTTATACAGAATGGACAGCCTCTCTGCCATAAAGAAGGATAAACTTGAGTGACTTGTAGGAAAATGGATGCACTTTGAGACTATAATGTTAACTGAGATAAATCAGATACACACTTTTAAATATCACATAGTTTCCCTTATAAAAGAAATCTAATATATAAATAAATTGCAAAATAAAAAACAGACAATGGCAAAAAAAAGAGAAAAAAAGTTACTGTAATTTAGTATTGATAATGCATCTAAAAGTATACCTTTATTTACCATAATTGTCTTATATGTTTTATATGATTTTTGGCCTGTTTGGCCGTTTCCCTGTATTTATGATAACCAATTTGATAAAGATGTATAAAATAAATGAATCTGATGACGGCAAAAAAATTTAAATAGGGAGGTGAAGAACACACACACACAAAGAATGCAGTTGTATGTATGTGTATCAATTTCCCACAATGTATGTGATCACTCTTCAGTACAAATGTACTAATAAAATTTGAAAAAAATAATAAATAATGGTATAATGAATGAATGAGCACAATATTGGCATTGCAAGTGTGTAGACGCTTTGCTTCACTCAGTCAAGGCCTACAAGCAAGAGATGAATTCAGGACAAAATTGGCAAAGGCGAACAGAATAAATGAATGCATGCATGAAAGTAAAAAAAGAAACAAAGGGAAAAGCAAGCTTTGATAACAGAAGCACCTTGCCTGTGGTTGACCACTAAATTTATAAAAGTCCTGTTACTTCGCACACTGCAAGTCTGAAAAGCCAAGAGATTTGTACTCCAAACGACAATAGCATCTGTGGCAGGGAGACGAGCAGGTCTGAGGCTTGTTCAGCAACATCAGTTTCGAGCTCCCTCCATCCCAGAGATGAGTCCACTGGCACAGGTGACCCTGTGGGTAGTGTTGCCCCATGCAATCTACCGCCTGAGTTGCTCCCAGGTAATGACTATTAAGCTAAGGCAGTTTGCAGGCAAGCAAGAGCAAAGAGGCCCAAAGGAAAATGATTAAATCCTTTAGGTTGCAAGACTATGCAAACAAGATCTTTGGCTGAGTAGGAGGATGTGCACTTGAGCAGAAGTGAGTGGTCCTCAGGCCTGCTGAGTTTTAAAGGAACCATGTTGCTGAAGAAATCCCAAGCCTGGCTGAACCAGCCTGAGCCTGTGCTAGCCTGTAAGGCAAACCATGGTCCACTGGTAGGAAGTGCGGATATTGTGCATAAGAAATTTTTTCCCAGAGTGTAAAAGTAGGGTGTTTACTGTACTTCCAGAATAAGGAGTCCTTACTACTCTTGAGTGGTCAGTCCCACGTGATAGGTAGTGGGGTTACATGTGTATCTGTGGTACTGGAGACTGAATTTAAGGGCTCTGCATTGAGCTGCATGCCCAGCCTTATTTCTGAGGTAGAGTCTTGCCAAGTCCCCTGGCTGGGCCTGAATTCACAATTCTTCTGCCTCAGTCTCCCAGAGTGCAGGGATTACAGGCATGCACCACCATGACCTCTTCTCTTTCAATTAAGCCAGGGATTTAGCTCAGCAGCATAAGTGCCTGCCTGGCAAGTGCGAGGTTGTGAGTTTAATCCCTGGTACCATAAAAAAAAAAAAAGATTAAAAAAACAAAGTGGGAATTATCTCTGATGATTCTTTGCTGCTTCTTATATCATTATCTGATAGATATGTGGGGGTAACTCCTTACTTTCAAGCTCCTAGAGAGGACTGCTTAGACTCAAAGCTGATGAGGAGATGAGATGAGACACTGACAGTGTCTTCGTTGGGAGGATGGTCTATGTCTTAGATTATCTGGGAATAAAGATATGTCTAGATGTTAGGTGGAAAATTAGTAATGTTGGGCACAGGATTGAAAAGAGGGTACTCACCAGATTTAGAAAACAGGAAGATATGATCTCAGTGAAAACAGTTTAAGTAAAGAGGTAATTTAAAAAGCAAATGAAAGTTGCAGATTTTAGATTTTGGCAATGAAGGGAACATATTGATCCTCACATCTTTGGTTGCACCCAGAAGATTTCTTGGTAATGGTAATTCATTTATTTTTACCTCTTGGGAATTGTCAATTTTTACCCCAGTAATGACTGTGTTCTCTCTGGTTCAAAGAAAAGATGAATCCAGATGTTTTGCTTTCTGGAAACCAAGACTCTTAGAAATGACTCCACAGTGAAGGTCATGCTGCAGGTTTGAAGGCTAAAGATGACGAGCCACTGTTCAACAGAACAGGCAAAGTAAAGCTACACTGCGAGGTCCCCCTCTGTGAGTACTGCTAAAGTTCTTGGCATCCTTTAGAGAGATGTAAACCCAGAATGTTTCAGTGGTGACAGAAGAGGGAAAGGCACCACATAGCAAATAAGTGTCTCAGATTTTTAAATAATTGAAAAAAGACATGGAAGCTACACCTAGAAACTGTACGATTGAGAAGAATCTTAACAAGTTACTCACTTCATTTACCACATCTAATTCACTCATAAGTAGGTTACGGGAAATAAAGAGGGCGAAAAAGACCAATCATCTTAAGTTTAGGGAACTATCCTTTTGTTTTGTTTTACTTATTTATTTATTTTTAGTCCTGGAAATCAAACTCACGACCTTGCACTTGCCAAGCAGGCACATAATCCATCGAGCTAAATCCCCAGCCCTGGAAATATCCTTTGAATTAAGGGCTGAGGATGGCTCAGTGGTATTGAAAATAATTTTGTTGAGATGAGTAAGCTAAAAAAAAAAAAAAAAACAGCTCCAAGGTGCTTCCTTCTGATAAGACACGAAAACAGAAATGCAGAAAAAACAAAATAATAATGAACCATGGATCCTACTGCTTATACTTTCATCAATGTAAAACCTATAATCAACAACAGATATGCAGGAAAATTTAACATGTGACCCTTTCCAAAAACCCTTACCTCCAAATCCCAGCTGAAAATGATTTCCCTCCCCCAAGCAATGAATGTTCTTAATAGAGGTAGCCCTGAGGACCAGGGCTGACACCTACCGCAGGGCTCTGAGTACAACCTCTGAAAGCCGACTCTGCAAACGAGGTTGCAGAACTGACGAGGAACTTGCTGGAATAGCCTGCGGCTCACAGGATCCCGGCAGGGTCTCCCTTCCATCATTTTCTTCATTCTTTGGAAGGCATTCATAAGAACCACGTTTTTTACCTTCTCCACCTATAACTCAAGAGAAAGAAACACTCAAAAGGAAACTGGAAAACAGCTACTTAAATTGCCTGCTTAAAAAATAAAGGTGTGGTAGCGCACACATGTGTGCCAGCCCTTGGGAGGCTGAGGACAGAGGATCGCTGGGAGTCCAAGGCCTGAGCTACACAGCAACATGCTGTCTCAAAAAGACAAAAAAAAAAAAAAAAAAAAAGAAAGAAAGAAAGAAAGAAAGAAAGAAGGAAAGAAAGAAAGAAAGAAAGAAAGAAAGAAAAAGCGCTTATGTGCGCACTACTTTATATCTAATTCTTTTCATATCAAGCTGCATAAGCTTCTCTTCTGCCCTGGAACTTCTCTGTTTGACTTCTACCTCTTCAAATAACTCTGCTGCTTCTTCAATAAATTCATTTAATAAAAATTCACTGAGCAATCACCATCTGCCAACACGGATAATCAAATGGTCAACAGAATGGCTGCCCTCTTAAGCACTTACCGGTCCAATTAGTGAAATACGGGATAACCAAAAACAGCATCTTTTTCAATTTTTATGAGATACAAATGATAACGTCATCAAACTTCTTCAGTTATTTTTCTGCATATACCTTTATAACCTGCAAACCACATTTTTCAAACCGTTTCTTCTGATCCTGAAGTTCTTGCGATGGAAAGAACACTGGGGATCGCAGAGAGAGGATCTTTTTTTGATCCATTTCATCTTGGGGTTTTCCTTGCTCATCAATCCACTGTCCTGAAAATGAGTAACACAAAACTTTATTCACAGTGCTCTGTAAACAGAAAGAAGTTTTAAAAGAAAACGGCTTCTGGAAATTCAGGGAAAGCAAGTGGCCGTTTTCAAGCAGATGCCTCTTGTTCCAGACTTGTAAGGAGAGCTGCAGCACAATCAGAAGTCACAGGGTAAAATGCAGGGCAGTGCATTTGCCCACGGACGATTTGGGTCATGAGGCTGAGGGGAGAAGAGAAAAACAGCAGTACGTATCCTCTCTCCACCACCACTAGTACTGTCTGATTATGTTCTGGGAAATGTTTGTTCTTTTTCTCCAGGACGACACTCAGCAAAAACACAGGTACTAGAAAATGTGAGGGAATCATGGAAAACAACAGGACGTCTATATGACACTGCAAAACTTTCAGAGTTCACATCTCTACTTCATTTGATCATCAAAGCACCACCTCTGATCTAATTGACCTGGTTACATAAGTAACAAAATTGAAATTCAGAGAAAGTAAATAACTTGCCCAGGACCCCAAAACCTAAGTGAAGACATAAAATTATAAACTTGGCTTTTACCAGCACTTTTTGTATAGAGACAAAGCAAAGTATGGTACTGGCAACATGCATCACTCATGTAAGACCAAGCAAGAAAAGCAAATTTTGGAGACTAAGGACCTATCGTGGCCTTCTTTCCTTCCTTTCCCCATTCTATTTTTTCTTTCTTTTTTTTTTTTTGAGACAACATTTCACGATGCAGCTCAGGCTGGACTTGAACTCAGAGCAATCCTCTTGCCTCAGCCTTCTGACTGCTGGGATTACAAGCCTGCACACCATGCCCAGCTCTTCCTCCCATTCTTTCCTTCCTTCCTTTTCTCCTGTATAAAAGTCAGTGGATGACTTGCTTTTGTCATTCATAAGCTAGTTCCTTATTGGACAGATACAGGTGGAGAAATGGAACCTCCCCTGCCAAAAAAGTTTGCTTCAGTGTATTTTTCATTTGGCTTGAAACCAAATATACTAAAATGACCCAATCCCCAGTACATTATCTGATTGAAAGGGTTCGATTTAACCACAAAAGGCCCCTTCACTAAAAGGTCCAAGTTGTAAATCTGAGAAAGCAATCAGGGTCAAAACTGCCATAGCAGAGGAGCTCCAAAGCCAGAAAACTTCAAGAAGAGACTATAAATTAAATTTGGAGACCAAGAGTTCACATTTATGAGGTGTAATAATATGATTCAGTTCACTTGCGATCAACAAACATTTACTAAAATCCTACTACAGACCAGGCCCTGAAGTAGGCACTGGGGACCTGAAGAGCACAGACTTCTGTGGCAGTGCTCACCAAGAAGGGTTAAAAGAATGGTGTAAGGGTGCAGGGGCATGTGAGACCTAACTTCTACCTTTCTTAAACTTTTACTGTTCTGATGAATGGTTGACGTTCCCTATAATAAATGCACTTCAAAATCATCCATTTTGTTTATACTCTAAATTTTAATCTATGACAGTCAGTTTGCATGAACCTCTGAAACACTGCTGTGAAATAATATATTTACTCATTAAATATCAAAACGTTACTTTCTTTTTAATGTTAGGGTCCAAATCCAGGACTTTGCACATGCTAGACAAGTGCTCTACTGCTGAACAATATCCCCAGCAAAAATGTCATCTTGCAGTAGAGCGAGGGGCTTACCTGATGCTAAATAGCCGACTGCTGAGACGGGAGTCAAACTTACAAAATGTGGTGAAAATGATGCTACAGGCTTTCTAGATCCCTGTTTCTTTGTCTTCTGTTCTCCTGAACTGAAACTAATATCAATTTAAATAACATTTATTATCTTTCTATGATCAAATTAAGTGCAAATCGTAATTGTAGGAAACTATCCAGAGGATTCTTCTTAAAAAGAGGAGCAACTATCTCCATTTTGCATAAACTTGACCCTGTCTCCATGTATTGATATGTACAGAGCTGGCTAGGTTATTTCTTCGTCCCTGTAAGTGGCTTTAAGCAATGTAAGTTGGGCTGGCTGAGGAGCTCATGTGTAATCTCTAAAGCAAAGCAACAGGTCAGTGTTATCCCACATCAAATATATGGTTGGGCCAGGTGGGATGGAAAGCCATGCTCCATGCTGTGGGCTGGGACCGAGCCTTGAGAAAGAGGCTATCACTTCCCCGGGCAAAAAGGAGTATCAGACCTGAAGCACTGACCCCAAATTATTAGCTACTACCTCAGCTGTGTTATGCAGATTGCTCGCTCTGCATTTCTTGCCCTCTGCTTATTGCAGAGGTGACCTCAGACCTCCTGCCCAGCCCAGCTCACAGTAGTCATGGCAGCCATGTATTTCCCACCACTCTCATGGTCACTCATCCCTGAGCCACTCCTCTCATGGAGAATCAATAAAACTCAGGTTGGTCTCTGGGTTATGATTCTTTTGTTTTGAACCGTCGTCTTGGCTGGACTTAGGATCCCTTGGCTTCCCAAAACTGTATATATGTCTCCTGGTGTTTATCCTCTCCTTGGGTTGTACTGAAGTGGTAGATTGGAATTAACTCACTAGAGTTCCAGTAACTTCTCCATGGGATTGCAAATATAAACCTTCTTGGACTGTGACTAGGACAGGAAAGGGTTCTCTATACATAATATTGATTGTCAAGCTTGAGAGTATTTTTATCCGTGTTTTTGATTACTAGGTTTTCTGTGAAAGGTGGACACAGACATGTATTGCCACCTTACACTCACTTTGACCACTTCTTTTTTTTTTTTTTTTGTCTTTTTCCTTTTTATTGGTACTGGGGATCGAACCCACGACTGCCTGCTTGCAAGGCAGGCGCTTATGCCACTGAGCTAAATCCCCAGCCCCTACTTTGACCACTTCTTGCTGACTTGTTTGTACAGACACATGAAAAGAAAAAGTCCTATGAAATTTTTCATCTGAGTTTTCAAACCTTTTCTAAGTCCATTCTGCACATTAAAACTTGCTAAACACATCTGATCTTTCCTTAAAATTCTCTACCATTTCCCATTTACTTAGAAAAACCATGACTGCTTTCATAGAGTTCATAAGATCTTGTATATAACCTGGGCTCTGCAAATAACCTTATTTCTAGAGACTTGCTTTCTTTGCCTGGCTAAAAGTCACTTATTACTCAGTTCTCTGTCTAGGCCACTTCTGGTAAGAAGCCTTCTCCTGAGCTCCCGGGTCTAGGTGAAGCGCTTCTCAGTGCTACTAGAGTATTGTCAGTCCCCACCATCACAGCTCCCCTGCCTCTGCCTGTCAGCATTCCCAATTAGACTTTGAGCAGGGACAATGTCCGCCTTGTTTATCTCCAGTACCTAGTGCAACGCTTGGCACTCATCACGAGTACAGTACACAATAGCTGAATGAGTGAAATAATCCTGTTTCCCAAGGTGGCATTTTAAATGGAATTATTTCCTGGCTGACTCTAGGGCTCTGCTCTAAAGATCTGTCCAGACACAAATTCCCAGTTATCCTGATGAATCTGGCTGCAAATGAACAGGAGGTAGTTAAGTGTACTCTACAGTACTAACGAATACTTCTGTTGATGACAGGGCTCTAAGCAAGAAATTTTACATAGGGTCCCTAATGTTGCCAGAAAGACACACACACACACACACACACACACACACACACACACACACACAGAGGGAGAGGGAGAGAGAGAGAGAGAGAGACAGAGAGAATATCAAGTAGAATGTGTCTGTATTTGAATGCTCACTTTGCAAAATTAGGAGTGTATTTTTCCACCATGGTTTGGGCTTAGGTTTTTGTTTTTGTACCAGGGATCAAACTCATGACCTCGCACTTGCCAGGCAGGCACTTATACCACTAAGCTAAATCCCTGGCCCTGGGCTTAGGTTTTGCTTAGGCTTTCCATATAATAGCCTCTTGAGCAACCCAGATCTGTCTGTCTGTCTGTCTCTCCCTCCCTTCCTGTGTGTTTAATTTGTTAATAAATAACTCTGACCATAGAAAGGGAGTCTAAACACAGCTCTTAAAAGCTAATGACCTAACCCAGAAGCAGAATGGCTTGCTCTCTTCTTCCCTACTCTATCCCTTAGCTCCAGGTTATGGGCAAAGCTCACACGTCCAACGGAAGCACGGACGGGAGAGCTGACTTTCTAAGCTGACGGGAAGCCACCCACCTGACAAACTCCTAAGGCCTTGCTCCTTTTTTCTTGCGATTTCCTCCTGAACTTCACACAGCATACATTCAATGTTCAAAACCACCTCGATGCAGTCAGTGCGGGCTCCTTTAATGTCCAACGTGGCCTTTTCTGGACTGATAACTTCTAAGATGCAGACACTTGAGGTTGTTTGAAGGTCAGACAAAAATTCATGTTCCTTTTTCCCAAGGTACAGAATATGATTATTCTCAATGATGTAGTGGTCCTGGGGGGTCAGTATCTTTCGGATCCATGCCTCAGCCTCGTACATATCTTCCTTGTCGAATCCTTTAAGACTGATTCCAGGAGATCCATCTGTAAGTCCATTTTCTCTTTGTTTCTCTCTTGTCCACTGGTGGGGGCCTAAAACAATTATTATAAGCGACCATGATAGGCTAGGGTGGGTTTGTTTGTTTGCAGTACTAGGGGTTGAACTCAAAGCCTTTGTACTAAGCTATACCCTTAGTTTTTCTTATTTTTTGGAACAGGGCTTTGATAAATCACTAAGTTCCCCAGGTTGGGCTTGAACTTGTGATCTTCCTGCTTCAGCCTCCCAGAGCCCTGTAATTACAGACCTGCACCACTGTGCCTGGCTGTCGATAGATTTTAAAATGGCACAGAACAAAGCACCCAAGGATACTGTCATCCCTGTCAATAGTAGCAGCTCCAATTAAGTGTCAATCTCTAAAAGAGACACTGCAAATAAAGAGTCTATGTGTAGTTTTACAGCCTCTTTGGGAACACAAAATTTAGATTGTAAGGGTTAGGTTTTATCACATCTGGCCTGTGCTGTGCAACATCTGTCAAATCACAGATACATTCACCTTGTCATCTCACCCTGGGATATTACGTAAGTATTATCTCCTGGAAATGAGAGCTTCCTTAACTACTAGGTTTGTAGTCAAACATCTCCAAAAGCTAAAGACCTTAAGGGGTGGGGAAAAAAACTAAAACCAAATATGACTTTCTGATTATATATATGACACATTTATTGGAAAGCTAAATAATTATCAACATATACTGAAAACAAGAAATATCTTTAGTCCTCAGAAGTGCAACCTATATCCCCCTTCTCTGTGGTTTAAAGTTTCCATCATGTTCTCAGCGATTACTTAGGTTTGAGTTAACAACCCATGTGTCTGGTATTACTGAGATGTGTTTTCTGTAAATACTAACGAGTGTCTCCATTTAGATATTTGGAGCAGAAAGTCGGATTAGCTAACCAGTTTATGGAAGGCAGAATGTTTTACTAGAAAAAACTGTAGACCCTATCTGTGACTGAACAGACTACCCACGCTATGGCTTATCTGTTGCAATTTAGCTTCTCTCTGTTGATATCATGAAATGAGACTAAGAATAGAATCCTGGTCAGGAAGTTGGTATCCTAGCAGAGGCACGATGAACTAACTGGCTTATTTATTCTTCTCCCTTGAATTAGTTCAGATGGTCAACAACAGAACGAGCCTTGGGAGGCTCTGTTTCTAGGCCTGTGAATTTCTTACTCACCACTGTGACTGTTGAAACTTGGCATCTCTGATTTCTTCTCCATTTCAGCACTGAAAGTCTACAATAAGGAAAACAGAGCAGAGAATCATAAGCAGGGGTTATAACCACTGTAACCCAAGACTCTCTCTCTCTCTCTCTCTGTGTCTCTCTCTCCTCCACCCATACCACCCTTGACTCATCTGTTCTTTCAGTCTCCAGTCCCAGTGTCACAGTCTAAAGTAGCCTTTAGGAAAGCCCCAGGGAAAAGGAGGTACAACGCCGCAAAGTATTAAACATCCAGGAAAACACGTACAAGGAAAATGGGAAGAAAACCGGAATCTGGCATTAAAAAAAGAAGACTCTGCTCCAAGGCAAAATACAATTATTCATTCATTCAACAGCTATTTCAGACACTATTATGTCTGAATTAAAGCTGTGGATGTCAAGGAAGAACACAAATATTGAGATATTCTTGTAATTAATAAAAAAATTCATTTCTAAATATTATATGCTCACCAAACTTTGCAGACTGAATAAGTGAGCTGTTTTAGATGAGCTGATTCCCGAAAGGTACTTAAAAATGTAACTGGTATGTAGTAAGTGTTCATATATGTTAACCATGGTCAGGCTTATATGAAATCTATGGAAAAAGATTTGTGTGCATTTCCACGCAGACCCCTGAACATAGAGTCTATGTGAAATAAGCCCTCTCTTCTAGGATTTGGAATTGTATCTCACTCAGTGTCTTCTTTGTTCAAAGTTGATACAACTGATAGTAATTATTTTATTCAATAGATAGTTATTACTGAAGACTGGATATTGCTCTGTATCTGTTTTTAATAATGACGTTTCTTAATTATAAGGTGTTTTCTTCATAAATTGTATTTGCTGGTGCAGTTTCCAGAGCAAAAAGCTCTTGATCTTACCATACTGAGTTACCCAGAGAGGTTACTTTAGGATAACTTCCTGCTCACCTATCAAGAAATAAAACAAGTGAGGTGACATTGTCTTCTGATAAATAGACTAACAGAAGTTGCCATACACGATGGATAAAAATTGCTTTCTCTAGAAGGTCATTTTAAAAGTCAGGCTACATGGGCACAGTGGTGCACACCTGTACTGTCACCATTTGGGAAGCTGAGGCAGGAGGACTGTCACAAGGTTGAGGCCAGCCTAAGCTATACAGTGAGTTCAAAGCCAGCCTGAACTACATAGTGAGACCCTGTCTCAAAAGAAAAAAAAATTAGAATGTATTACAGGGATAGAAAATAACAGGCAAGGCTTTCAAATGTGAAGGAAGGATAACTAATTTCATGATTAGCAATAACAATATGGAAAGAATATGTGGGGAACAGGCAGGAGGTCTTCAAGGAGCTTGGAAAAGTACAGCCAAATGGCAAGCGTTTGGCAGGTTTTCCGCTCTGTCCACAGGCAATCAACACCTGATCTGAGAGATGTCAATACTGCTTTCTAAAGAGGTATTTCTAGTTTTGAGATGTCATATCTGGATCAAAGTAGATAAGCAATACATATTTAAATAACGTATTTACAAATGGCAAAGCAGGTGTCCAGAAGGTGTGGTCTTGAAGTCCATTTTTTTTTTTTTTATCGAACTCACGACTGCCTGCTTGCAAGGCAGGCGCTTATGCTGCTGAGCTAAATCCCCAGCCCCGAAGTCCATTTTTTATGGACACTGAACCCAGGGCCTTATGCTGATGTATATTCCCAGCCCTTTTCATTGTTATTGTTACTATTTTTTAAAATTTGGAGACAAGGTTCCACTAAGTTGCCCAGGCTGACCTCAAACTTGTGGTCCTACTGCCTCAGACTCCTGAGTAACTGAAGTCTACCCTCTTATTCCTAACAAGGTGCTTTCCACATGGTGTTGCAAAGTATGTGCTCTAAAAACCTCTTGACAGTTAATCAACAATTCAATGGTGTCCTTTGGCAGTGGGAGAGAACAAAAGCAAAGATTTACCATCTGCTGTTCAACGCGGCCCGGGCCAATCTGCAGACTCAGACTCTGGACTGTTTGAATATTGACAGGAGGCGTGGTTTCTGGACTCATCCTGCGGCCCAGCTCATTCTTCCCTAAGATGGTTTTTGAAGCAGCCTTAAAGGAAGCCACAGTGCAATCCTCATTGCTTACCAGATGAATTTCTTTCAAATTACCTGCTTGTTTGCTTTGAAGAAACAACTTAATATTTTCTACAATAGTGCTTGTACACAGATGCAGAGGGAACTGGAAAACTCCAGAGCTCAGGGCTGGAATTGCAACTGTCTTAATGTCTGTATTTTCATAGGTCACATAGTGCAGAATTCTGAAAGTCACTTCTTGCAGTTTATTGACACATCCCTGTGAATCCACTGACTTCCATCGGGGCCCAACAGCATGGATAATCAGCCTGCAGGGAAGCCGCCCTGCTCCAGTGACAGCTATTTCACCAGTTGGTACTCTACCAAATGTGGCCACAATTTCTGAGCTCTCTAATTGGATTTCATAGCCACCAGCTTTCACGAGGGCCCCCGCCAGGCCCCCGCCATGTACAAGGTCTTCGTTGGCTGCATTGACCACAGCATCAACGGCATGTCTAGTGAGGTCATCCTTCCAGACAGACAGCACTGTTCCACAGGTCAGCCTTTTTCTGAATACTTGCTGAGCAAGAGGCTGGCTGTTCCTTTCCAGGCCTGGAGAGATCAGAGTGGAGGTACAGCCAAACTTAGCCAGCAGGACTTTGCACAGCTGGCTCTCCAGATTTTTTAAAATTATGAAGTCATTATGATTAATTGGAATTTGGTGGCTAACGCTTTTAACAGCCAAGTCAGCTGCTGGAAAAGAAGAGAAGATAAAATAATAAAGAAATGACCAAAGTTCTTTTGAAAAGGATGTAATTCCATTCACATCAAGAAAATGACGTTTTTATTTATAGGAGGGTGAACTTTCTCTAGTGCCTTTACTAATTTTCCTTTTCACTGAGACACATAATTAGATCAAGAATATCTAAGAATGTTCGATGGTAGGTCACCTGTAAAGTGCCTAGTCTTGTGCCTAACATACGGTAAGTATTCCATAGTGTTAGCTATTATGTACAGCAATGGTAGTGACAAACTATGTATATTTGGCCCACGAATCTTTTTTTTTTTTTTTTTTTTTTTGGTCCTGGAGATCGAACTCAAAATCTCACACCTGACAGGCAGGTGCTGGGCTGCTGAGCTACATCCCTGGCCCGGGCCCAAGAATCTTTTAAATGCACATAAAAATGGTGAGTTTAGGAAGATCCATGATGAACACACATGTATTTGAAAGAATTTAAGTATATATTAGAAACACAGGCAGGCTTTCTTCGTACTTTTTCTTTTTTGGTTTTTTGTTTTGTTTCTTTTTTGGGGGGTTATCTTAGGGCGGTTTCTTAGGGCCTCATACTTGGTACTCAACATGTAAGCCTTGAGACAAGAATTTGGGGCATAAGTAGTTTCTTTAGGAGGTGATCTTAGAAAATATAACAGACTCTAGTTAAGGAAGGGTGGGAAAATTAAGAGGGAAAAATGAATAAAGTATGTGTTACTTAACAAATGAAGCTTAACTCCACAGATAAACAGTGTGGATCATATGCCTCAGAGTTACAACCCAAATAGGTAATCACAGGAGCTAGAATATTTAACCGACTCCTGTGCATCATTGGTCAAAGCTGTTCCTTGGTGAAAAAGTGTGGCAGGACATCAGGCCAGCTCAGGGTAAACCATCGTCACTGTCTGGTACAATAAATAATTTGTAGTATTTCTGTTTCTTAGCTCTTTTCCTTGGCACAATTAAAATTAGTCGAGTAAAATCTATTTATTGTACGTGGGAGATGAGATGTGCTACTGAGATCCTCCTTCAATTTGGTTATGAAGTAGGAAATATGGTAAGCTCACAACCTCCAGCTTGGGAGGGTTCATCTCAGTTCTCTGGGCCAACGGGCACCCTTTTCTCAGGATGACCCCATCAAGGGCTGAGCAAGGCCGCTTATGCCCAACATGGGACCCCTCTGACCAGCAGATTTTCATTATAGACAGATGGCTCCAGCCATCCAGTCCAAATTCTTTTCACAATGAACTGCACCATTTTATCTTCTGAAAAACCCAACTGGACATGGTATTCATGGAGTCCAAGACATTGTTATTACATGGGAAAACCAATGCCAAACGAACTGGGGTAGCCTTATTTCAGAAGTGTTATAATGTGAAAAAATGTGTATCCCAAAGTAGATAAAATGTGATAATTACTAATATAGTACTTCAACTACTAATCTGAGCCACCTAGAAAGACTTCTTGTAGTCTCAGTGACTCAAAGAAGCAGGAATCAAGTATCTGAGCTCAGCTGGCATCCGCTTTGGTTGGCATTCTCACGTAGGCCAGCCCTCGGCTTAGGTAGGGACCGTCTGTCTCTTTTACCCTTGTTGAGCAAGGGGACAATCAAGTTGTCCTCTCCTTCTGGCCAGTACTGGGGCCATACTGGTGGGAGGCAGCCACCTCCTGCAGCACACGTGGTTGCCGCTGGGGCCTGCAGTCACACACCTGTGTACTTGTGGGGGATACCGTGTCCTTCCATATCCCCTTTGCTCCCCTGAGGAAAGATCTGAGCAAAGGCCTTCTGAAATAAAAGCGACAGTGAGTTGGTCCTACCTGGTTCTTCATTGGAAACTGCTGCTCCAGCACCCTGTGAAAAAGGAGAATAGCTCTTTTAATAAACAAACGTGGCTGACCAACTATAGATGACTATTATTGACTATAAATACAATCTGATAAACACAAATTAGACTCTCTGCTCAAAGCCCTGGGTTTGGGACAGAAGCCCATGGTATTTTGTCATTATTTTGTTTTTCTGTGCATCTGACACGCTGAAAATCCTCAATGTTCCATCAAACGCTGACCTGTCTCATTTCCCTAGAGGGCATTCTAAGTCAGAATGGGATGAAGGGTGAGAGATGACCACTTGGAAAGTCCCAAAAGTCACAGACCAAAAGGACCCCAAATTCTGAAACAGGCTCCAGTTTGCAAAGTCTTGTGTGATTCCCCCGACAGAACAGGAAAGAATCCACTTTCAACTATTTCACAACACAAGGTAGTCTATTTGGATTTAGAAAATGAAATGTTTTTCCTTATTCCTTTGATTTTACTCCTTTTATATCATCCTCTTCCCTTCTACTGAAAAATAAATGCTAAATGATGAACAGAATCCAAATAATATCGAAGGGACATTTAAAAAAAATCTACCCTCAAGTTGACCCCACTGATTAAGTTAGCACAGTCTTGCTTTCCCATTTTCCGCATAGTGGAAAACTCTCATTGGGAGAAAACTCTTAATAAGCTATTAAAACCACATCAGGATGCTAGGTATAACTAAAGACTCCAAGTTTTTTGCAGTTGTAGAGAGAACTATGTGCTGATCAAGGTTCATGAAGTGCAGACATTTATGTTTTTTACCATGGAAAAGGCCATCTTCGAGGTTCCTAGTGGGTTTTTATACCCACTTTTTTGCTTCCAAATGTAGACTGTAGTTCCCAGATATGGTGGCCTACCTCTAGGAATAAACAGAAAGGACACAGTAAGCATTGACCGGAAATGGAGGAAATGTGCAAACATTCTAGAGGAGGACTCAACCAGAATTCTGATCTTGAGTAGTTATTTGCCTTTGGTGAATATAAACACGTTGTTATTGCTTTTTACCTTCTGTCCTCTCCAGGAGTAGTTCAGATTCAACCATGGTGGCAATTTGGAGAGGGGAAAAATCGCAGGGCCTGGCCCAGGGGAAACACTATGAAAAAGGGAAGACTCCAGCCAGGCTTTGAAGGATGAAGCAGGTTTTTATATAGAACAGGAAGATAGCAAACTGATAAGACTGAATGCAACAAAGAATTGTGCAGAAAAAGCTAGTGAAAACCTCTGGAGAGTGGTTTTTGTCTGTTTTCTGTTTTCTGAGTCAGTGGTCTCTGACTGGGTTCAGGCTATCCTCAAACTTAGGGTGATCCTCCTGCCTCAGACTCCCAATGGAGAGTGCTTTAAAAAAAGAGGAAACTTAGTTTATTCTTGTGAGGGCTGTTTGTTACTGAGTTTGTGATAAATATCTTTGACCTAATTAGATAACACATATCTCAATAAAAGCAGGAAGCCTGGGGTGAATTATATCATAATGACTTTCCACCTCATAGGTACAAACAAAAAGGTTGTGTATTGCTAGAATGATGAAAGCTCTTAGATATGATGGCCCACACCTTCTGCTATCTTTAGGTCTCTGGAGTGAATGTTAATGTCTTTTTCCCCAATGTCTTTTAAATAGAAAAGGCAAATAAGCCCACTATGTATCAGAGCACTGTGACTTTTACCCCTGCTGAGAAAGGAAAAGTACAATTCTGAAAGGCAAGCACAAGATGCATTTCTACCTCTAGAGGGCACTGCTGTTTTCACAAAACAAGGGCGTTTTCCGGGTTGGCTGTGGGTTGCTGTTATTTCCCTGTTCTTGTTGCCTTTGAGTCCTTCTGCAGACCAGGCCCTAATGAAGCCTCCATTTAACCCCAGAGAATTTGAAACATGAGGCATGTTGCTTACAACGTTCATCTCCTCCTTTAAAAAAAGTAACAGTAACAACAAAATCCTGCCAGCTCTCTATCACTGTTGCAGTGAAGGGCCTCCTGGGAAGAGCAGTTGACTCTCCTGCTCACCAGTCGGGCTCCCTGCCTCAGTGGCGGACACTGTTGGGGTCTTGCATGTGATCAACCCCAAACAGAGAAGACAACTTGACCGCTTTCTGAGACATTTCATCTTTGACTTCTGAAACTTGGCTTTCTGATTTTTCCTATGCCTTCTCTTCTTAGCTGTTGGGATGCCTTTTGCTTTGCCTTTGCAGGTCTTCTCGGTAAATTCAGTTCCAGCCATTAATTGTTCGATCAGGACTCTGATGAGAGGCACGTCTTCTCTCATTCTACTTAATCTGCTTCGACAATTTCATCCACTCCCAGGGGTTTAACTCATCAACTGCAGATAGGACCCTCGTATCTGTATGTCTAGGTTATGGCTCCTCTGGGCCTCCTGTTCCAGCTCTACCTTGACGTCCAGTACCGCTCCTGCAAAACCTCTACCCTCATCCCTGTGCCTTCCTTCTAGTCACACTATTACCCAGGCTTTCCTCATCTGGTAGATTCCACAGTTGAGTAAACAACGCACCATTTGCCTTCTCAAGTTGGAAATCTAAGAATTATCCTTAAATCTCCTATTTTGTCCCATATCTAGTCCATCTCTGGGCCCTGATCACCTAAGTCATTCTCAAACACGCCCCCACCCTCCTTTCCCTGAGACACTATTGCACCCCAGGTCTCAGCATGTATTAGTCAGCTCTTGCATCACCGGGACACAATACCCAACATCCACAAATTAGAATAGGAGAGATTGGATTCAGCTTAGAGTTTTGGGGCATGCAGTTCATGGGTAGCTAGCTCCAAAAGAGGAACATCATTGTAGCAAAGTACAGCAGAAGAGAGATGCTTGGTTCATGGCAGCCAGGAAGCAGAGAGGGGATCAGTGCCAGAAAAGAAAGGAGGAGGGACAGACATGTAAATGACCCTAAGGCCACACCTCAGTGACCCACCGAAGTGTGTTCCACCAGTCCCCTGGGGAGCTCCTAGAGCTAGTTAAGGTGGCACTCACACTAAACGGCTGTAATACTCTTTCTAAACATTTTCATACAATGTCTGATTTTACAGTTAATTACAAAAGGTATTACAATTACATGGTTCAAATTCAGAAAGTGTAAAAGGCCTGCTCATATCTTCGTAATTAAATTCCACTCAGGGGAAATCAGTGCTTCTCTTGGATCGTTGCAGAGGCATCTGTTCACAAAAGGCATGTGCTTTCCTGTCCCTTATTGTCCCCACTTAACGTATCTAAAGATCTGTGCATAGTAGCACATTGAGATTACTCTCTTATTTTTTTTAAGTACTCATTGTATCTCATAGTATAGATACGTTCTAGTTATTTAAACGCTGACCTCTGCTTATGGACATTCAAGGAGACTCAATCTTAATCTATGACAAACAAAACTGAAAAACAACTTTATAGAGAGCTCACTTCACACAGAAGCTGATACATCAGTGGGACACATACCTAGGCATGAAACCACAAAGTATATGCAGTTGTAACTCTGATACTACTGCCAGACCGCAGCCCGTAACGACTAATTTATTTCCAGACTTACCTGTCTCATGCAAAAGCCTTGTCTCTGGCCTCTCTCTGCTTGGGAACGTGTCCTGTGCCTCCTCATCAGCCCCATCTTTCTAAAATGCAAAACTGCCTCTCCACTTCTCCATTTCTCTTCACCAATCTCAAAGACCTTTCACTATCTAGACCTGTGCTGGCACAGGTAGACCGTAATTAGACACAGGTAGCTGATGAGTATTACACAGATATGGCTAATCTGAATTGACTTGTGAGGTAAAACGCTGGATGGCAAAGACAGCATGACAAAAAGAACATACACTATCCTGTTAGGTACAGCAGGACAACTGCCACTGGGAACAAACATAACAACGGCCCCGGAAATCTCTCATGCTCCAGGACAGAGCACAGGCATGTTGAGCTCATGGCCTGAGCTTCAGGAACCTTTTCTCCACTCAGATCTTGTTAAAGGGTCATATATATGGCCGGCATCTCATGTATGTAATTTAACCAGATTGCACCCTGGGATATGGCCTGCTTATTATGTTGCCTCTGAGAGGACCCCGAAGCCTGTCAATCAATCATTTCTATCAATCTTATCCACAGATCCAATGAGAAGCCTGGGGGCGAGGTACACATCATTTAATGTCCACAGCCAGGGTCCTGCACACCTGTAAGCCCGGCACGTGGGAGGCTGAGGCAGGAGGATGGTTGAGAGTTTGAGACCAGCCTGGGCTACAAAGTGAGCCCAAGGCCAGCCTGAACTGCAGAGTGAGACCTTGTCTCGAATTGACAAAAACTAAAATAAAATAAAACCCAAAGTCTGACTTATCTGAGTGTTTTTAATTTCCATTGCCCCTGAGACCCCTTTTCTGTCCACGCTGCGTCTTTGTTTCTGTTAGTAAAGACCCACACTAGGCACACGACGCAGCTGTTTTTTCTTTTATCTTTGGATGTATGCTTATTATTTGCCATACACAAGAACCTAGAATCCATCTTTCAGATCCATCACACGGTAATGCCATTATGGGCTCAAATGATTAAAATTCGGGTAGCTGTGTGTGGTGGCCAACGCCTGTATTCCTAGCACCCAGGAAACTGAGGCAGGAGGATCACGGCTAGGTTGAGGGTGCCATCTGGGCCACATAGTGAGTTCAAAGCTAGCCTAGACTACATAGTGAAACCCTGACTCAAAAAAACAAATGAAACAAACTTTGGATATAATGAACTAAAGACCTTATCGGTACAATTTCACTTATTTTAAAATACGACTAAGAATTTTAGAACTCACACACGGGACTCCCAGCCTATCTCTAGTGGACAGCTGGGCTCTGAGCAGGCCCTTCCTTAGTCCTTCCTCTCCCCATCTGTGGGCAGCTCTGCCTCGCCTTACCTCCTGAGAATCTGTGTTCCCAGGGCGCGGGGCAGCAGTCATTCGGGCTGCTGATCAACCAAGCAAGGAGGGCACAGAAGCCCCCGCGCGCCAGGCCAGGCCCGGGTGGAGCTGCGGGGGGACAGGCAATGGGTCTCCGAGCAGGTGAAAAGCTCAACTGCAGGAAAGGAAACTAGCTAAGTAGTAGCAACTATTCTGATCCCAATTTAGAACGCGCAGGGGCAAGTTAACTTCCTCCGCTCAGCCCCCAGGAGGAAGCCGGCCGGGGCGCCCCGCGGCTGCTGAGCCTGCAGAACGGGGACCCCAAAGCCTAGGGGAGCCCCGACCCTGGACAGCGACCACTCACCGGCAGACGACAGCCACTCGGAGTGCGGCGGGAGGAGGGAGCGGCCTGCCGGGAACGGGGAAGGACCTCGGGGAAGCGAAACCGAAACCCAAACCCGGCCGGCCGTCGGGGCGGGCAGCGCCCAGCGCGAGCTCCCGGTGCGCCCAGCCCGCGCCATGGAGCCCGCTGCCCGCCAGCCGCGCCCCCCGGCCCCGGCCCTCTCGCTCCTGGCGCGGGTGTCCGAGGTCGCGCCCGGGCTTCGCTGGAAGCTGGAGAAGTACTTCCAGAGCCGCGAGTCCGGTGGCGGGGAGTGCACGGTCCAGCCCTGCGGCCGCGGAGAGCGGGGCGCCTTCCTGGTGCACTTCGCGGAAAGGGCGGGTGAGCGCGGGCGGGCGCGGGGCGCGGGAGGGGCAGGGGCGGGGGACTAGGGGCAGGGGCGCGGGACTAGGGGAGGGGCGCGGGACTAGGGGCAGGGGCGCGGGACTAGGGGAGGGGCGGGGGACTAGGGGCAGGGGCGCGGGACTAGGGGCAGGGGCGGGGGACTAGGGGCAGGGGCGCGGGACTAGGGGCAGGGGCGCGGGACTAGGGGAGGGGCGCGGGACTAGGGGCAGGGGCGCGGGACTAGGGGAGGGGCGCGGGACTAGGGGCAGGGGCGCGGGACTAGGGGAAGGGGCGCGGGACTAGGGGAGGGGCGCGGGACTAGGGGAAGGGGCGCGGGACTAGGGGCATAGGTGCGGGACTAGGGGAGGGGCGCGGGACTAGGGGAAGGGGCGCGGGACTAGGGGCAGGGGCGCGGGACTAGGGGAAGGGGCGCGGGACTAGGGGAAGGGGCGCGGGACTAGGGGCATAGGTGCGGGACTAGGGCCAGGGGCGGGGGACTAGGGGCAGGGGCGCGGGACTAGGGGCAGGGGCGCGGGACTAGGGGCAGGGGCACGGGACTAGGGGAGGGACGGGGGACTAGGGGCAGGGGTGCGGGACTAGAGGAGGGGCGGGGGACTAGGGGCAGGGGTGAGGGACTAGGGGAGGGGCGGGGGGGGCTAGGGGAGGGACCGGGGACTAGGGGCAGGGGTGCGGGACTAGGGGCAGGAATGAGGGCGCCCAGGGGACCCAGCCTGGGGGTTGCTTGGAGAGGGCGCCGCAGAGGGTGGCACTGACCACAGCAGATATGCACAGGTTATATGCAATAAGACACCATTTTTACATAAAGGATTCAAGGGGCTATGGATTTTAGGTGTCCTGCTGGGGGCCCTGAAACCAATCCACAGGTAGGAAAGGGCAGGTCCCTCTGTCGCCGCTCTGGCTTCTGTGCGAATGTATGTTTGCTGTCTCCCCTAAAGCCAAGGAGCGCGTGTTGAAAAACAAAGAGCACCAAATTCCTATTAATGACAAACTAGCAACCATTTCCCTGGAACCTATTGAGAATTCAACGGAGAAGAATTCGGGATCCAGCATTTCTTCATTGCCCCAGGCAGCACAAGGGGCCCAGGCTGATGCAAAGGGTTCAGACCAAGGGCCTGTTCCTAATGCTGTGGACCCTGGTGTCCCCAAGGTGAGTGGTGGCAGGTGGAGCAGCCTCTGCAGGCACCTCACCTGCCCTCTTGGCTTTGGGGACAAGCACTGGTTTAGTCACTGGGACTCAGCAAGTAAAGCAAAGTCCTTGCTCTCCTGCTGCTTGCTTTGGGGCTGGAGAGGGGAATAGAAAGATAAGCAAGCAAATGAAAAATAAAAATAAAGGATAAAACCATTGCAGCTAAGATGAAGATAAAGGAGGGTTTTGCTTCAGAGAGAAACAGGGCCAGGGTGAAAAAGAGTGAGATAGGGCCAAAAGTCAGAGCCAACTTTTTTGCAGAATTGACATTTGGCCTGAGACTTACATGATGGGGAGGAGCAAGCTGTGCAGAGATTCATTCAACAAACAGATACCAACTGCCTATGTGTGCCGGGCACTTAAACGGGGGCTGACAACAAAGAGAGGCATGCGGGAGAGTCTGAAGTCAGGGCCCTTTTTTCTTGTGAGGAGAATAAATTATAATAGTGGACAAGTTGGTAGATAGTGAAATGCCTGGCAGTGGTAAGTGCTAGGAAAAGAATAACAAAAGCTAAGTGGTAGACACTGACAGAGCCACTGTTTGAAACAGGTTGTCAGGAACCTCTCCAGTGAGGTGGCATCTGAACAGAGACTTGAAGAAAGAAAGGGAGCTGACTGGGTGAGTTTCCAGAAGAACATTCTAGCCAAAGGGAGAAGAAGTTTCCATCCTGAACCCCCAGAAGCTTCAAGGAAGCCAGGGCCAGGGAGCAAGGGAGACAGTGCTAGGAACTTGGAGAGGTCCCCAGAGCTGAGATCTTTGGGGGGCTGAGGGGAAGGCCTTCTGCTCTGAACTGGAACATTGGGAGGTTCACCAGATGTTCTGAGGCAGGTGAGTGGAGCCTCGTTTTGGCTGCTGAGTAGAAGCTCACATGTGGCAGAGACCAGCTGAGAGATGCCTCAGGAGCCAGGTAGAGGACGATACTGGCCTGGACTCCAGGCGGTCCCCCAGAGGTGTGAGAAGAGGCTGGGTTCAGGAAGCAGCTTCAAGATCTAGAGGAAGAGTATCCCAGGCAGAGAAGAGTGTGTGCAAAATACTAGCCTACTTGCTTTTGCATTACATTTGCTAGCCGCTTTTTCCTTTTATCCCGGGGTGAGGTGTCCTAATTGAGCCTGGAAAGACCAGTTTAAAGGGCACGAAGTCAGGTGTTTCACTTTTTGTTTTGTTGTGTTTCTTTTAAGGCGGGAGAATGAATAAGAGAAAAAGTGATGGGAGAGGGGAACTTCCTCCTCAGATCTAGGATTCCCCTTCAGGCTCGTAGACCCTTTTGTGAGGATCACAGTAACTTGGCCAGAGAACAGAAGGCCTTGCTCCTGCCAAGGTCACACAGACAGCAGCAGGCCTAGAGCATCTATCTGGCAGCTGTAAAAATGCTCATGCCCAGGCTCCACTGCAGACCAGTGAGTCTCTGGGGTTAGGCCTCAGCCCTGGTCCTTTTTTGCATTTTTTTCCTGGTAACTTCCCAGTGAATCTAACATACGGATAGGACGGAGACCCTCTGGTCTGCAGCAAAGTGTTTCCTTTCAGAGGATTTGAGCCAGTTACCCTTGCCAAGGAAGGACCTAGAGGCTGTTTCTGTAGTTTCTAGGCATTCTCCAGAAAAGCAGACTGTTAGATTGGATGTCTGAGAAACTGCATTTGCTCCTGTTGCTTTTAAATTTCAGATCTTCCTCACTGTAACGGCTGACCTGAACTGTGACCTGTTCTCCAAAGAGCAGAGGTCACAGGTGACCACGGTCTGCCCCGGTATTAGAAAGATGGAGGGTCCCAATGGAATCGAGAAGGTGTGTGGTAACTTCGAAGATATTAAAAAAATACACCGATTCTTCAGTATGCAGCTCTTGGAAGGTGATCAGAAACAGGAAGCGTCTCCATCCACCACGGAGAGGAGGCCCTCTGACCAGCATGACTGGAACGGCAGATTGTCTCCTCCTGAACCTGAAATCAGGTCACAGGAAAAAAGCAGCCCTTTCCAAGTTCCTTTATCTTTCTTTGAATACTTCAAATATACCTGTCCTGATAAAATAGATTCAATTGAGAAGAGATTTGGTGTAACCATCAAAGTTCAAGACAGTTCTCCCAATATGGTCCTTTTAGACTTCGTCTGCAGTCAATCAGGTGACCTAGAAGCAGCTCGAGAGTCTTTTGTCAGTGAGTTTCAGAAGCAAACAGAATCTCTGAAGCAAGAATGTGTCCCTTTAGCTGACAGGAAGCAAGCGAATGAAATCAAACACAAACTGAGCCACTGTTTTCCGAAGCTCCTCATCAAGGAGCACAGAGAAGGGCTAACTCTCCTCGGAACCCCAGATGACATCACAGCTGCCGGACAAAAATTATCAGAAGGTTTTGTCAAGCCACATGTGACAATCTTGGCTCCCAAAGCCATGATGAATGTAGTTGAGTTTGACACTGCTTATTATAAGATCCTCGAAGCTGAGTTACTCCAGGAGATAGCAGACATAGAGCAAAAGTATAACACTAACAGTAAAGTTTGGGAGAAAAACGAGAAAACCTGCGTTCAGTTTGATCCTAAGGACAAGGATGTAGATCTGTCTGTGCACGCTTACACAAGCTTCATTGATGCCCTGCAGCATGCCTCAGGTCTGCTGGTGAGCGAAGTCCTACCAACAAAATTGGCCAAGGGGAAAAAACACTGGGATGGGACTAAGTTCGCCAGCAACTTTAGAAGAAAGTATCCAGGTGTACATCTTGCACTGGATCAAGAGTCGATGACTTTGACCGGTTTACCAAATTGCCTCGAACAGGCCAAGCAGTTTGTCTTACATAAAGCAGGACTGTTGCCATCAGCTGGGGAGAAACCAAATGATAATCGTGAAACCCTCACAGACCTTGATAGCAATGCCTCCAAAGCAGCTTTACCTCTCCTCCAGGACTCTGCAAGTTCTGTGAGCTCAGAAATGAATAAGGAAGCAGAGAAGTGTAGCATCTGCCTGGATGCCATTAGTGACAAATACGTGCTCCCAAAGTGCAAGCATGAATTCTGCACCCCTTGTATCAAGAAATCCATGTCATATAATCCATTCTGTCCTGTGTGTAAGACTCTCTACGGTATCCAGACGGGGAATCAGCCCAAAGGAACCATGACTTGGACCCGGAGAACACAGTCACTCCCAGGCTATAGCTCGGATGGCACCATTGTGATTCACTATAGCATGGAGGGAGGCATACAAACAGTAAGTGTTTCTGATGTCCCTGCATTTCTTTCCACTCTGCTAGGTTTACCACAACGAAAGGGACCGGTCTGTTGTTTAGTAGACAGTGTGCGTCCTTGGGAATTATCCCGTGGTCATATGAAGGGACTGAAAGAGTGATAAAGGTCACATTGTTTGCTTATAATTCAGACATTTTCATGTCTTTTTTTTCGGGAGTGATGGAGATCGAATGCAGGATCTTACGCTTCACGAGCAGTGCTGTCCTGCTGAGCTGTGCACCCACATGTTGTGTCAGTTTCTTTAAAACAGGGAAAATGTAGATGGAGGACTGTGTGTCAGGATGGAGGGAACCGGAAGACCGGTAGTACTCATCAGAGAAGAATGACATGATGAAAGAGAAGAAATTGGGCATATGAGTAAAATTTTTAATACTTTTTTTGCTTTTGATTTGTACTACCACAATTGAACAGATACATACCTATGAAAAGATGTATTTTTAAGGGGCATAAAGGGATTTTTTTAGAAATATATATATATATATATATATATATATATACTCAAATATATAGTCAAAGGAATGGAGTTTAAACCCTCAAGACAGAGAAGCACATTGCTGTTGAACCTGGAAATATTTATGTATGGGTGATGGAAGTCTGGAAGTTGTGAATCTGTAGGGATTTCTGTCTTAGTCTTGGTTTATAGGAAAAGGATGACCCACTCACCAAAAGATAATGGCCCGTTTTACAGGTGAAACACTTGAGCCTCACGAGTTTTTTATTATTTTTTTAGGATGTGTGATCTAAGGTGCTTTGCCTAAAAACATTCTTTCAACGCTCAATCTGTTCTTTTATCTTAAAATCAGGTTTATGCTTTTTGTCAATAAAGCTAATTTATGGGAGGAGAACATCTTTTATTTTTTTTAATTGGTACCAGGGATCGAACTCACGACTGCCTGCTTGCAATGCAGGCGCTTATGCCGCTGAGCTAAATCCCCAGCCCCAAGGAGAACATCTTTTAAGGGATTACATATAATAAAATTTAGGCAGAGAACTCTTCACAGAGCATTTTCTTGTCTTCATACAGGAAGAGCATCCGAACCCAGGGAAGAGGTATTCTGGAACATCACGAACAGCATACTTACCTGATAACAAGGAAGGGAATGAGGTCTTGGAACTGCTTCGGGAAGCCTTTAACCACAGGCTGATTTTCACTGTGGGATACTCTCGAACGCTAGGTGTCTCGGATGTCATTACATGGAATGACATCCACCACAAAACATCCCGCACTGGAGGACCATCAAGGTGAGAGTCTTTTGAATTGCAGTGATTGATAAAGCCTAGGAATTGTGAAATATGACAATTTGCACATGTGGATATGAGAATTTGTAGCAGATGTATTAGGTCGCTAAAGTATTTTGAAAGATTCTAATTCTGGGATAATTTCAAAGTTGGAAATACGGGTCTCTCTAATCTTCTACCTGCCGGTCATAGACTGCCAGTGGTGTACAGTTATTGCATCCTGTGTCATACAGAAGGGAGTTTCAGAATTCAAAATGGGTGGTATCTCAAGTTAGTTTAATTTGGGGTTTCCTATCTATTTGATGAGCATAACTAGGGATGCGATTCACTGTACTTCCTTTTAAGGTCATCTTTCCTTATCACCACTTTCCCCACCAGTCCATGAAGTATTTGAACCACTTGGCCAAAAGCACTTGAGAAAAAGTCTTACTTCTAGGGAGTAGTAGTGATGGAGTCTGTGTCACACAGCTCTGACCGTTCTGTGTGAAAGTCAGACTAGCTCAGTCCCCTGGTATTCAAAAAAGTACATCATGGACCTTTACATGGGCAACAGGGCACAGTGCCTGGCAAGCGCAGGGTCCTGAGTTTGATTTCCATGTACAAAAAGGAAAGAAAGAAACCTGTACAAATCTTCAAATTTTAAAATTCTAGTAGCATATTGTTTCAGTGCATCCTCTATAAAATACAGTCAGTTTCTAAAGTACTGTTGGCTGAGTAGGTTACTGTATTTCATAAAAATTATTACTTACAAGAAACCAAGAATTTTAAAATCCTGGTTGGAAGACAGATGCAGGTTAGACCTCGAGGCTCACTCACCCGCTACATGGTCCACATGGGCACACTTACCAGAGGCTGTATGCCGTGCACGCTCAGGATTGTTGTGAATGTTTGTATTCATATGCCAAACACCCTGTATTTGGGTCCAGATTCTAAGAACCATTTGTAGTGGACTAAAAGGATTTTTTCCCTGCAGTTTTGGCTATCCTGATCCTGACTACCTGAACCGTGTGAAAGAAGAGCTCAAAGCGAAAGGAATTGAAAAAAAAAAAGCGTTAGAAGGACGTCTTAACCAAGCTTCTTAAAGATATGTTTGAGGAGTTGGTGCCAATCAAAATCTTTGTCTAGCAATGCCTTTTTAAAACTTAACCTCAAGAAATGGTTTATATAAGAATGCAGATCTGCTTGTCTGTCATTTCTGGAGTGCTGCCTTTTAAATGGAAGACAGAAGCCCCAAGAACTGTATTAAGTGTATCCTAGTCTCATTCATGGCTGGGGGTCTGGGTGGGTCTCACATAATCTTCTAGGTATTTTAGCTCTGTCTTTCAGCTATTGATGGACAGCTGTCGCATCTTCTCTGCTCTGCGGTGCTGGGGATCTAACCCGGAGCCCCTGAGCTACCCTGTAGCCCTCTGATCCTCTTTCCAAAGTCATCTCTCAGTGAACCTGCAGTTTTTTATTTGTTTCCCCTTTAAGTGCTATCTGTTGGCAAGAAGTTTGGTTATGGAAAATTATAGACCCACATTCCGCTCCTTCCCCCTGACAAGAAAAGTGGGCAGGAGCAGAGATCAGGCAATCCTTGGGAATAAATGGAGTAAGACTGTGCTTTTTAATATGAAACCTGGTGTATAGTTAGTGCTTAACACATTTTCATTGCCCAGCTCACATTGCCAGTAGTTCAGGAGAGGGATATAGGTTTCCTAAATCTTTGGCACAAGCAAGAACTACTCCTGCAGTCTCCCCACTCATTGGGAAACTGAGTTTCTTATTCTGGAGCTGTTGGTGACTGAACTGCAATCAGGTTCCTAACTTGGCCTTGCTCCTCCCCCATCTTCGGAACCAGCCCTGTGGGGTGCAGGTGCCCTGCCATAGAAATGCTACATGTGTCTCAGAATTTTTCCTCTCCATTTTGTTATAATGTTGAGTATACTCTGCTTCCAGCTTTAACAGGAAAATAACTGTGATTTCCATTGTCTAATATTATAAAGTTACTATCGCCTGCAATGGAGTGGTATTTTAAATCCCTTTACTGAATCCCACCAATTCAAGTTTTCTCTCTGGATTTTTACTACGAATGTATGACACACTCAATTGTGCTTTTTTTTTTTATTTTTTTGATGCCGGGATTCAAACTCACAACCTGGGTTTGTCAAGCAGGCACTTAGCCACTGAGCTAAACCCTCAATTTTACTTTTAAGTGGTTTTTCAAATCAGAAAATAATTATAATAGCAAATTACCCACTTCTCTCCCCCAAAATGGAAATCTATATCTTGTTTTTTTTCCTAAAGATGCATATACACACATGTAAAATGTTTTTGACCCCAAAATAATGACTAATATTTATGAAGTATATGATTTGTCCCCTTTATAAAAGCTGTACATCTGTGTGATTGATACAATTCCTATGGCATGTTTTATAAACAAGGAAACTGGTGCACCCTGAGTAAATCACGGTCGCGTGGTTTATAAGCGGAAGGGCTGGCATTTGAACCAGGTGCACTGCCCTGGGCTTCTGCACCCCGGGGCAGTGTTCCCTTCCATGGAGGTGCTTCTTCCAGCAGCCAGCTGGGAATTCCTTTTGTGCTGGACTGGGCTTCTCCCAGAAGTGGAGGTCTGCAGAGTGCTCAAAGCAGAGTTCCTCTGGGAAAGTCCTATTCACATAACTTCAAAACTCGGAATCCTTTCTGAAGGAAGCCAGCCACTGCCATTGCTAGCTGAACAGAGACACGTTAACTGCCTGTGCTTGCCTACCTGCTGTAAATAATGCATAATCATGAGCAGACTAGGCCCCGTGAACAAAGCTGCAGTCTCTAATTTCCGGTCATTGCTCAGCCAGTTCTTCCCAGACAAACCTCAGCGCCCGGTATGCTGCCAAGCCGTGTCCAGGCAGATAGCCACAGCTGTTTGTACCCCGTTCTGCCCCTCAAAAGTCCCAGGATGACTTCTTCCTTCCACAGCCCCACTTTTTAATGCTCATGAGCATGTAAATGCCTCATAGCCTGCAGGAGAGTTGCTAGGCTGCTCTCTAAGGTCAGAGTGATCCCTCTCAGGTTTGTTCTGAAATAACACTGCCCTGTGAGCTCCCACCTCCAGTTCTTGTCTAGAGAGTTAAGGAAACTTGAGCTAAATGTTGTATCTTTTTTTAAAATCAGAGTGAATATTTAGTGTTTTCTGTTTGCTTGTTCCTTTATTGAAATTGCATCTCACTATGTTGTCCAAGCGGGCCTCAAATTCACCATGTTCCTGCTTCGGCCTCCTCTGATCCTCCTGCCTCTTGAGTAGCTGGGCTTACAGGGTACTGTGCTTGGTCTATATTTTTAGCTAGTTGTGATTCATTAATTTTATCATTATAAGGAGCGGCTTTGCTGGGACCGTGTGGCTCTTGAGGTTCCCAGGCTGAAGGACAAAGCTGGATCAGATGGAGCCCTTAATTTCCCCAGTGGGAGGAAAGGAACTGGCCTTTGTGGGTGAGCCAGGAAGAGAGCCAGTCAGCGTCTCCCGAGATCCAGCCATGTTGGAACTTGGGCATATAAGCAAAAAAGCAACATGCCCCCCTTCCTGGTAAGCAGCCTGGGTTGAGTGAGCAGCCGGTGAGCCTGGAGGAGAACCAGTCAGCATCTCCCCTGAGCCTACTGGTGCTCAGGCTGAGAATCAAACCCCCATTGCTCTTACTCTCCTCCCCACCTTAGCAACTGGGAGCCAGAGATCTCTGAGCATCCCTTGGCTGGATGACCATATGCAATACAGCAAATAGGGGGCATTTCCTTCTACCATCTCTTTGAAAGCAAATATTGTTATCACTGTTTTGCTTTGTACTGATTAATTGTTTTTCTCTATTTAGTGTTCTAGGTTTTATAATGCTCTGTTTTGGTTTGATTTTGCTATACCTGATTGACTGTTGAACTGTTGTGAAGATAACGAGATACACTATGGTTCCTATTACTGTTATCCTGGTATCCTGCTGTGAAGTTCTGTACCAGTTTCAATGCATTGTCGCTGTTAGCTTTGTTCTATTGTATTTTACTACCTTCAAAATAAAATTCTAAAAAAAAGGAACTGGGCCTCACTGCAGGAGCATTTATTTATACATTTTAGCAACTTAATGTCACATGACACACTGTTGTCCTAGCAACCCACTTCTGGATTGTCCTGGATCCTGGTGTTTTCTAGACTGAGCAGCTTCTTCATGTAGCTTGCCCAGGAGCTGTTTTCTTGGAATGGCCATGCTCCAGCCTTGCACATGTGGTCAGTTTCTAGTTTCAATGGCTCCCAACACTGCTTGTATTCTATCTTCTGATCTTTTAGCTAAATTTGTTCTGAAGAAGCAAAGTTTAGTTTCCACAAAGCATTGGGTACACACTGCATGTTTCATGGCATAAAACTTGGTCAGTGAGCATTTAGATTACTGCTTTTACTCTGGGAGATGTCATTATATGCTTTAAATTAAATGAAAAAATAATTAATTAAATGAAGCCCACATTTGGAACAAGTGGTGTTGTTTTTATTTAAGAGAAAACAAGACACAGAAAAGAAAATTAAAAAGCAAGAGACAAACAACAACAAACCCAATACAGTAACAGTATAGGTTTACAAAACAAGATGACAGAATTTGACAGTGATTGTAATATCACATATTGTTACCTTCAAAAGAGTTGTTTAAAATAACAACACATATAAACATGTAAACTGATCTAATCACATGAATATTAACTGTTCTTTTCCAATAACTAATACAATTACTAGTTTTTCCAGCAGCACTTATGAAAGAGGCTATCTTTCTTCCAGTCTGTTTGGCTCCTTTATCAAAATGAGGTGGCTGAGTGTGTTTGTAGTGTGTATCTTCTAATCTCCTCCACTGATCTGCAGGGCTGATTTACTCCAGTACGGTGCTGATTTTTATCACAGTATCTTTGTAATATGATTTCAAGTCAGGGATTGTGATGCCTCCTGCCTTACCTTTGTTACCCAGGATTGCTGTTGCTGGTCTAGGTCTCTTCTGGTTCCAGATAAATTTTAGGGACAATTTTTCCAGATCTGTGAGGCCTGGTAAATCTGTATAACAATTTTGGGAGAATGGCCATTTTCACAGTGTTTGTTCTTCCTATCCACGAGCAGGCAGTGTCTTTCTATATTCTGAAATTCTCTTCGATTTCTGTTTTCAGAGTAATGTAATTTTCACTGTATAGATCTTTTATTTTCTTTGTTACATTGATTCCTAAGTATTTCATTTTTTTGGATGCGATAGCGAAGGGTGTGGTTTCTCTTATTTCTCAGTGAATTCATCATTTGTGTATAGTAATGCTATTGATTTTTGAGTGCTGAACTTGTATCCAGCTACATTACTGAATTTCGTTATTAGAGCCTTTCAATGGAGTGTCAGGGGCCTTCTAGGTATAGTATCATATCTGCAAATAGTGATAATTTAACTTTTTCCTTTCCTATTCTTATTCCTTTTATTTCTCTCCCTTGCTTATTGCTTTGACTAATGTTTCCAGAACTATACTGAATAGGACTAGTGATAACGGACATCCTTCTCTTGTTCCTGATTTTAGGTTGAAAGTTTTCAGTTTTTGTCCATTTAGTATGGTGTTGGTTACTGATTTATCATAGATGGCTTTTTTCAGATTGAGGTGGAGACCATCTATTGTGATTTTTTTGTAGGGTTTTTATCATGCATGAGTGTTGGATTTTGTCCAAAGCTTTTCCTGCATCTCCTGAGATGATCATGTGATTCTTGTCCTTGACTCTTTTGATACAGTGTATCACGTTTATTGATTTGCATATGGTGAACCACTCCTGCATTCCTGGGATGAATCCCATTTGACCATGGTGTATAATCCTCTTGCAAATGCATTCTATTTGCCAGCAATTTATTGAGGATTTTTGCATATATGTTCATTAGAGAGATTGGCCTGTAATTCTCTTTTTTGGTTAGATCTTTCTCTGGTTTTGGTATTAGGGTGATACTTGCTTCCAGGAATGAGTTGGGGAGATTTGCTTCCCTTTTGATTTCATTAAAGAGTTTGAGAAGTGTTGGCATTAAGTCTTCCCTAAGTTTCTTGTAGAATTTAGCAGTGAGTCCATTGGGACCTAAGCTTTTCTTTGTTGGTAAGGTTCTAATTATATTTCAGTTTAATTAACTGGATTATTCAGCAGTTTTACATCTTCTTAGTTTAGCTTTGGTAATTCATATGTTCCTAGGAATCTGTCCATTTCTTCTGTGTTATCAAACCTATGAGAGTAAAGGTTTTTGAAGCAGGTGTTGATGATCTTCTGTATTTCCACAGCATCTGTAGTGATTTAGTTCTATTCATTTCTTATTGTTTGGATTTGAGGTTTTTCTTTCCTCTTTTTGATAAGGTTGCCTAGGGATTTATCAATTTTATTTTTTATCTTAAAGAAAATAAAACAAGAGAGAACAGAACAAGTAAATCAGAACAAAACAATGCATGCAACACAGCACTTCATCACAGGACAACCAGATATCAATGCACTTTTATTTGAAATAGTTGAGCATACCTTCACACACAATAGTATCAAACATAAGAAAATAGTGTAAAACTATTCAAGAAAATGAAAGTATTACAGGACATTCAAAACCAAATAACCAAAAATGAACAGTGGCTACTATAATATTTCATTTTCCTTAAAAATTTGTTTATACTATCACAGATATTAAATCCAATAAGACACAACATAGTAGAATCAATGGAAAAAGAAGAACAAAAGCACGGTAGGACTTCAAAGCAAGACGATACTAATTCAGCAATGGCTGCCATAATGTCTTGTTTTCTTCGAAGTAGCTATTTACACCATCACACATAATAAAATCAAAGAAAACAAAATAAAACCATTCCAACCAATGAGTGAAAATATTCAAAGCAATATAATGGGGAACCATGATTACCACAAAATCTTATGTATTGTTACCATTTCTTACACTAGGGAGACTATACAGTATTTATACATGTGTTTGATTTATTTCGCTTATGAGTATGGTCTCAAGTTGTGTCCATTTATTTATAAATATCTCAATGTGATCTTTCTTTATAGCTGAGTAGTACTCCATTGTACAAAAATACCACATCTTTTTTCATCCATTCCTCAGTTGATGGACACTTAGGTTGTTTCCAAGATCTGGCTATTACAAATTGTGCTGCTGTAAACATGGGTGCACATATATCACTGTGGTATGATGTTTTCAGTTCTTCTGGGAGCATGCCCAGAAGTGGCATAGCTGGGTCAAACAGGACTTCCAATCCCAGCTTTTTGAGGAATCTCCAGACTGAGCTCCATAGTGATTGCACCAGTCTACACTCCCACCAACAGTGCAGAAGAGTTCCTTTTTCCCCACAGCCTCTCCAGCATTTGTTGTTGGTAGTTTTCTTGATCCTGGCCATTCTTTCTGGAGTGAGATGGAATCTCAGTGTGGTTTTACTTTGTATTTCTCTAATGAGTAATGATGATGAACTTTTTTCATGTATTTATTTTCCATTTGTATTTCTTCATCTGAGAACTGTGTGTTTATCTCAGGTGCCTATTTTTGGATTGGGTCTTTGAATTTCAGGGGTCTGGTTATTTTTAATTCTTTATATGTTCTAGATAAAAGTCCTTTGTCTGAGGGCAGTTCACTGAGATTTTTTTCCCAATTTGTGGGTTTTCTTTTCACTATGCTGGAGATTTCTTTCAACATGCAGAAACTCTTTACTAAGACATGATCCCAGTTACTGATTCTGGGAAGTATTTTTCCATGCTGTTTGATTCTTTTTCATGAATTCTCTGCCTACCCCTATGTCTTCAAGATTTTTATCTAATTTGTCTTCCAACAGTTTTAGTGTTTCCATTTCAATATTCAGATATTTGATCCATTTAGACTTTAGTTTGGTACATGGTGATAGGCATGGGTCTAGTTTTAGTGTGCGGCATATGGAGAGCCAACTTCTCCAGCACCATTTTTTAAAGAGAATACCTTTCTTCCAGTAGATGTGTTTGGTCCCTTTGTCAAAGATAAGGTGGCTGAGTGTTTGTAGTTGTGGTTGTATCTTCTAATCTATTCCATTGATCTTCAGATCTGTTTTTATTCCAGTACCTTGCTGATTTTATTATTGTAGCTTTGTAGTAAAACTTCAAGTCAGGGATTGTAATGCCTCCTGCCTTGCCTTTGTTGCTTAGAATTGCCTTTGCTATTCTAGATTTCTTCTGGTTCCAGATGAATTTTAGGAGTGATTTCTCTAGATCTATGAGGTATATTGATGGAATTTTCATTGGGATTGCATTGAATCTGTATAACAATTTTGGCCATTTTCACAATATTTATTCTTCCTATTCATGAGCAAGGGGTATCTTTCCATTTTCTGAGGTCCTCTTATATTTCTTTTTTCAGGGTATTATAATTTTCCCTGAATAGATCTTATACTTCTTTTGTTAGATTGATTCCTAGGTATTTCATTTTTTGGACACTATTGTGAAGAATATGGCTTCTCTTATTCTCTCTCAGTAATTTTTGTTGTTAGTGTATAGGAATGCTATTGATTTTTGAGTGTTGACTTTGTATCCAGCTACATTACTAAATTTATTTGTTATATCTAGGGGTCTTTCAATGAATGTCATCTACAAATAATGATAATTTAACTTCTTTTCCTATCCTTACTCTTTTTATTTCTCTCTCTTGTCTAATTGCTTTGGCTAGTATTTCCTTCACTATGTTGAATAGGAGTAGTTATAAGGGACATCTTTACCTTGTGCCTGATTTTAGGGTAAAGGCTCTTCATTTTTGGCCATTTAATACAATGTTGGCTGTTGGTTTGTCATAGATGGCCTTTATCATATTGAGGTAAAGACCATCTATTCAAATTCTCTGTAAGGTTCTTATCATGAATGAGTGTTGGACCTTATCAAAAGCTTTTCCTGCATCTATAGAAATGATCATATGATTCTTATTTTTGACTCTATTGATATGGTGGATTACATATGTAACTACATATTACTACATATTACAAAAGAAGGGAGGAAGTTATAAAAATCAGAGCAGAAATCAATGCAATAGAGACTAAAAA